GGCGTCTTCTGGTGGAACCGAGCTTCGAATCTCTTCACGCAACACTTCCACTCGAAATGGAAGTAAGCTCCACAGTTTAACAATACGATCGACTTCCTCACCTCAAATGGGCTTTCGACTTGGCTCGGGTCTCATCAAATCTCTCAAAATTGCTCGAGACTAGACTCCACTTCCAGATGCTCCGATACCTTCAATGTCTGTCCAACTATTGGTACCGTCTATACGACCAATTAAGAGTTAATTGGCCTAGTTTAGGCTTCCTTCCGTTTCGCGACTGATGGATACAGTTTTTGCGATATCCGGATAGAAACGAGCCGCTGTTTAGCTCTTTACACGCTCGGTACTAGAAACAAACTGCCTTATGACTTATGCCCTCGTTTCTGTCTATGGTGGTGACACTGTGCTTTGTTCTAGCCTCAACGACTGAAAAATCGAGATTTTTCGTTTTGTCTGTAGGCTTCTTGCGACACAGGCGACTTCCTAAAGACGCAGCCACATCCAAGCGGATCGAAAGGACACCTACTTCTTTGCTGAAATCCCCAAAGTGGAACTGCTTCGGCTAAATCTGAGTGAAACGGACAGCTATCCCCGTTGTCATAGTGATTCACATCCGTTTTGCCTAGCCCCAGCCGCTCTGCAGGTGTTGTCTTGACAAATGGACTTGAGGGAAGGGGATAACCAATAACAGCGAAGTGGAGAAGTGGAGAAGTGGAAAAGTAGAGCTGTTAAGAAGTGGAGAAATGGAGAATTCGGTCTCTCGGACACGAGTGATTCAGCCAGACACGATAGGCTTGAGGCACGCGTTGACCTGACCGTCTGTCTTTGTGCCTCCACCTGTACCCCAGGGACACTAGCTCCACAGGGTTGGTGGGTTCTTGACCTCTGGACAGTCATTATGCGTTTTCAAGTTCCCTCCCAGAGGGATAATGATGCCGAGGCGAGGCCAGACATAATGTCCTATTGCCCCACGAACTGGACGTATGAGTACAAATCTGAATTATTGGTTATCTCGATAGTTTTGTTAGTAGTATCAGTACTATTTATTATTGTATTGCTGTCAATCAATTTTAAATTAATTTTCTGAAAGTTTTTGTCATTCGGGTGTACAAGTGTGCTTTCGAGGTAAGCATTTTGTGAGATTATCAGTCATTATAACACACAAACAATTAGTGAGTCTATGCCATTTACGGTGATTTAAGGAGTGATTTTTTAGCTTTAGCACACAATTGATCATTACATTATTAATTGTGTTGATTCGTGCTAAAATCATTACTATTCAAATAACCGATTAATTAATTCGCATTAAATTGTATTAATATTTCACAAGTATCAGTTAGTAGAGAGTAAAAGCCTGTTTCTGAGTAGACTACGAGACTATTAGTTCTACTACAAGGACATAATGAGTCTGGATCATTTAAGGTGATTTAACGGCTGATAGTTATTTATGTTCTATGCTATCAATATTATTATTATTATTATTATTCTAATAAAGAATCCGGTATTACTTGCTACTTGCTTATTTTAATTAGTTAATTAGCAGTAATTGCCATAGGCATTTAGAAGGTAAGTTGTAATTATTGCGTAAGAACTTAATCAACATAAGTCGTTTAAAATGAGTTAAGCGCCAATAGTTGGTGCCAATGAGCTTACTTTTGCTTTACCTCACAAAGGTCCGTTTCATCCCGTATGAACTGGACTGCCGGTTCTACCTCGCCGCAACGTTGCATCAGCAGCCCCAACGCCATTCGTAATCGGGTTGTGAGTAGCATGGCGACAAGACCATATATTTGGGAGGAGTCAACCTTGCATTAAAACACCTTTAGCGAAACAAGGTGCGCAACTTTTAATATTTTCACAATTAAGTATTGTTTTCGTGATTACCAGTAAATAAGTAGTATGAGATGTATTCACCTAATTTCGTTTAAGGTGATGAAGGACTGGTAGAAGAAGAATTTTCCCACAATGATATGAGTTTAGCTGACGTTTCCATTCAATTTTACATAGCCTTGCTTTCCCAAACGTCAGCTCAACTCACATCATTGTGGGAAAATTCATCTCCTACCAGTCCTTCAGCACCTTCTACGAAATTGGGTGAATACAACTTTTAATAGCATCGTGGAAAAATGCGTTATTCTCACTCACTACTCAAAGTTCAAAGAAGTAGTAGGAATAATGGCGTGTCATTGAGCAATTTCACTCTCAGCGTCGAGCCACAAATCGCCAAATAGACAAGGCAAATCATTCGTATGACCAATTTACTGTCTTTCCTTCCGTCTTGGTACATCTTGCTCATCCCTTAAACTTGTGTCCTCATATCTCCGTCTTTTTGTCTATCAGTCTGGTTGTCTGTTTGTTCATCAGTAATTCTCTCTCTCTCTCTCTCTCTTAAGAAAACGTGATAAAAAGGTAGTGAGACGCAAAGCTTCTCCCTCCCTGCGACTGTACATGATGCCTTGGAAAGGCCGAGAGAGCCTTGAGGGCCGAAGAGGTCATGGCAGCAAAAGGGCGTGATTTTCTGGTAGTATTGAAAAACTACTCACTTGCGAAAGAAGTAATATCGCCAATTGCCATAGCAAATATAGGTTTGCTTCATGGACAATCCCAACAGAGAATGTGATATGGACAATGTCTGACATTCTTTGAAATGCACATCTGCCGTGTCACTCACGTTTACAAACGCTGAATTACCGCGGCTCTATTTCCGTTTGTAGTGTTGCTAGGGCCTATGCGGGCTCGAACCTGCAGTCCACCGAAGCCTGGATGAGGACATCTTTTGGGAACGCAAAGCTATGTGAAATTGAATGGAGACCTCAGCCTCATCAGCTTAAACGAAATGGGGTGAATTCATCCGGCATAAAAGGGCGTGTGTTTGCTCGACCATTTCCACAAATCCACTAAAAACACAAGTCCTTGCCACGCAGAGCAACTGGCCGGAGGGAGTCTAGGCAACATGCAGAGCGGAAGCGCAAACACACACTTCAGGCCATCCCGAGGGAGGGAGGGAGGGAAGGTGAATCTCTTAATCCTCCCACTTTTGCCGCTTTTCTCCTTCCGACGGGCGGTAGTTGATGCTGACCAGCGCTGCCGTCGTCTCTAATTGAGTTGGAGAATAGCAATTCATCGGAAATTGGCACGACTCGTGTGGTTTCTATGCTCCGTAAAAGTCGTCAGCGCGACCATACACACCTTCGGCCTATACATGTGTGCATTTGTACTATCATACATATACCTGCGCGTATACAAGTATGGATGAGTAGATATATCCACATATCCACATGTGCATACACAAACATACGCATACACATTTGCAAATACATATTCTTACATTCATTCATTCAGACAAATAGGCACAGATACATTCATGCTTATATGCATACATGCAAGCACACACGCAAAATAACCTTTATTTTCAACGGGTCTACTCATGGGAAATGTGAACCACACTTTTGACACGAAGTTGGGCATAGACACGAAGACCAAGATTGTATCGTCTTCTGTTTGGTCACAGTCTCCTGTACTGTTGGTTCTAACTCGTTTTTCAAACTTGGTCGGAGCGTCAGGGCGACCTCGTGGAACATGCCTAGTCCCGTGCTCTCTGCCAGAGTATTCGCGATCGCCAGCATTGGACCATTGACTTGGTACATTCCCAGACAGATGCACTCACGCTCAAATGCATACATGCAAGCAGACACGCAAAAATATCCTTTGTTTTTGCTCGCACTACTGGGAAATTTGAACCATATAAATTTCTCAAAACTGCACGACATATATACATATTTATTTATTTATTTATGTTTATGTCTCATTCCGATTTGAGATATTGTGTGCTTCACATTTCTCAAGGCCAGTGCCGTCAAAAACGAAGGATATTTTTGTTGGTGTCTACATATATGCATATGTTCAGGAATGCATTTAAGCATATATGCATAATTATATATATATATATATATATAAACGCCATTTTATTTTATTTATTTATTTAGTGTTTATGTATTTATGTATTTTTGTATTTATTTATTTATTTATTTATGTGTTTATTTATTTATTCATTTATTCGTTTATTTATTTATTTATTCATTAATTCATTAATTCATTTATTCATTTATCCATTTATCCAATTAATTCATTTATTCATTTATTCATTTATTCATTTATTCATTTATTCATTTATTCATTTATTCATTTATTCATTTAGTTATTTGGTTATTTATTCATTTATTTATTTAGCTATTTATTCATTTATTCATTTATTCATTTATTCATTTAGCTATTTATTGATTCATTTATTTATTTATGTTTATGTCTCATTCCGATTTGAGACATTTGTTTGTTTTATATTTCTCAAGGGCAGTGCCATCAAAAACGAAGGATGTTTTTGTTTGTGTCTACATATATGCATATGTGCAGGAATGCATTTACG